AAGTGGCTGCCTCTAGACCTAAACCAGAACTGTCGCGTTCTACTTGTCAGGAGTAGCACAATGTAACTCAGGTGCCGGTGGTTCCAGAAGTAGCACGAAATAAATCATTCCAGTTGGGGAGCTTAATTGTAAGAGAAGTACTCCTGAAGCTTGTTGACAAGCATGCGATTACCTCAGGTCTCTAAACCGCCTATGATTGTTTTATATATAACTTAGGAACCACATAAAAAGCCTCAAAATCAGACATCGGTGTGTGATTTGTAAGAGAGCAAGGGATGTGTATTTTTGATTCTGCGTGCTTGTTTGCCGGGGACGTCCCTGCAGCCTGCATGTGGACACAGGATGGACTTTGGAGATAATGAATTAATTAAGGGTCCACTGTTTCTGTTTCTACTTGATTTTAGAATCTTGTTTCAGATTGTAAATTTGGGGTATTCCGTTAAAATAAAGGGAAGCTCTGGGTGTGTGCAGGCGTGTGTACGGCAGGCAGCACAGCACAAATAGTCTGTGTAGTCTGCAAACGCCTTTGCTCTTAATTTGGGCAAACATACATCCCTTAGAGAAGAGCACCTTGGGAAGCTCATATATAACTCTCAATTAAACTGAATTGTGTAAAGCTTATTTATATAAATGAGCAAACTCAAACCTTTTGGTTCAAGAAGTACAGAGGACTAAGTAAAGCTAATGATTTATTGTTCACAAATTAAAACCAGAAGTGTGCGCACTACAATTGAGCTGTAGTGTTTCTTTGTTCCAACACTTCCATGCTGTTGAAAGATGACAATTTATAATCTTCAAATGAAGAACGATTTGTCTTAGGCCTAGGTATTTGTTGTATAATTAGCCCATCTATGAACAAAACCACTGTTTGTTAATTCCAATATTCATCAAGAATATGCATTTCTCTGGGTCTCGCTCACGTGTAAAAAAGTGCAGATGATTGGAGGTTAATATAAATTGTTTATTTTCCTTATTTGTTGCTAAGTATAATGGCAAATCTCAAAACAATGGGTTTTTTTCATACTTAATCATTGAACTGTGTGAATCACGGCCTGGAGTAGCAGAGGAAGGTGAGCTCAGCTGTATTTCAGCCCTCGGTTTGGCCTGTGTTGGAACTTTTGTCTCCACAGTTACTTCTGTGCAGTTTTCTTCTTGGCACAAACAGTTATCGCACAAATAACTATATTTGTAATGTGGTGGGTTTGTTTTTTGTCCAGATTGTTGCCTCTAATAATCTTTCTGCAGCATAGTAATAAGATTAATCCTGTAAGTGCAGAGAACAGAGTCTGTAAACTTAAAAAATTTACCTTAGGTTATGGCTGAGCGCTTGCAGCTTCGATTCTGAGGGCAGAAAATGAGCTGACGGTGTTCAAGTCATGGCAGAAGATGAAGAAAACCAGGTTTTGCTGAGATTGTTTTTCTTCAGTTAAATGTGGGGTGGTTTGGTAGAACTAGTCAAGATGGAGGGTCAGGAATGGGTTCCAGTTTTAGAGATGATGTAGATTATTCTTCATTTGAAGGAGGACAGAGATTGAAGGTGCTACTGCTGTTCTCAAGCAGCTCAAAATTTGACCCTTGCCAAATATTTATGGCAAAGCTCTGATTTTTGCTGTAGGTAGCACTCCAGTTTTTAAGAAGTGACCTTGAATGCTTGCTTATGGAGTTTTTTGCATTTTTAAGTGGAATTTAGAGACTCATGTCCTGTTATACTGCATAAACAGGAGTTGTACGTTCTTACCTTCACCTTGGATTTTTAATAAACACTCATTTTCTTTGTACCTTTTCACTCCACAGGTAACTACAGTTTTCCACATGTTTGTGTATTTCTAGATTAAAAAACCTCAGTCGCATTCTGATCTTTGATAAATGCTTGTAGCAGATGTTGATGTAAGAATAGCAAAAAGTAGGAAAACTGGCATAGCTCAGGCACAAAGCGCCAATGTGTTAATTTAGGAAGGTGCAAAAAACCTGGAATTGCCAGTAAAATATCTCTGCGCTCCTTGTCTGTGTATGTGCCACTTGTGATATTTTCCCCAATGAAACAGAAATTGCAGGAGCGCAAGAAAAAAGCACTACGTGCTGCAAAGCTTTTGAAGAATTTAAGTGTTATTGTTTGCTATCCTGCGTTGTAGTGAAATTCGTGGAAGTTGAAAAAACTCCTTGTTACAGCATAAGAATAGCCTACCTGATGTGTAAAGGGCTGCCATAATTTCCAGTGTGAATTCTGATTTTCAAAGATTTAAGCTGGAAGATAAAAGATTACTTTTGAGCTCAGATTCCTGGGAATGTCCCTCCAGGCTTAAATTAATCTCGTCCTGGAACTTGATACCGATGCAAGAGGTGCGTGACCCAGAAATGGAGGCAGAATCGCTTCTATGTATTTACAACGTGTTTGTTCCTGTAACTTCAAGGCTGTTTTTAACTTGGGAAAAAACCAAAACAAAACATGTGTATCCATGTAAGAAGCAGCCCAACGATGGCAAAGGGCTAGCAAGGATCACTGCTGGGAGAAGGTCGTGACTCGGTGGGCGTTGAGCTCGCCTTGCCCGCGCTGAGGCTGAGCCCGGCGTTGCCTGCTATCAAAACCAGACTCGCTTGAAATGCCTGCTTTTGTGATAGGTGTGGTACAGAAATGCTGTTTTATTAAATAGCAAAATAAATTACCGAGGTTTGACCTCGGCTGAGGCTTTATCACTGTTGCCCTGCCGGTGAACTCTAAGGCAGAGCTTTCTCGTGGAATTCGGCATGTCGTCACTTTGCGGTAGAAAGAGTTAACGCTGCGCTCCCCAACCGCACTGAGACACCTGGTATTGCCAAACGGATGCAGAGCTGCGCTTCCTCGGGAAGAGGCTTACAGCGTAGGACCAAAACGATTCTTAAATTCGAGTTTCTTACTGTAAAGCCATCCTGAGTCCCTGGTAAGGGTATTCCACGAGGGAGAAATCCCCAAAGCGGGGAGGATGCTGCTCCCTGGGCTGGCGTTTTTGCAGCGAGTCACTGAAGAGTGGTTTCCCTAATCTTGACAGCTCTAGTAGATGCCCCTGGGATAGAAAGAACCAAAAAAAATTCAGAACAGTCCATAAAGTTCCTGTTGGTTTGAAAGCAAAAACATCTGCTGGAGTCATGAACAGTTTGTTAGCGGAGTTCAATAACAGGAAAGCCTGCAGTTGATCAGCTGTGCCCTCAGCAACAGGCATGGCTGCAGTCAGGAGGATTTATTGTGGGGGAGGCGGGAGATATGGGGAAGATTAGGGCAACAGCAAAATGTGTCAAAAGTAATGGCTTTGTTTCGTCGGCTTCAAATATAAACTTTACCCATAAGGAAGAAGTGTGGGCGTTGGGGTTTCGTATTCAGATATTTACTGTGACTCCTCAGCTGTCTGTGATCCAGGAAGGCCACGTGTATTTTCTTACTAGGAGTTTGCTCCAGGCTGGACAGACACGTCTGTAAGTCCCTGAGTGAGATCTGTCGTGGCTGCAGTGAAGGAGATGAACGTTGTCCCTGCGTTCTCCCAAAAACCAATGAACTCGCGCTGCCAAAGTCATGGTTGGGGTTGCGGGGGCGCGTAGGGACACCTGCGTGTAGGCACGAGTTGTACCGATACCGATGAATTGGACAGATGTCTGATATCTCGTGGGAAAAACTTGTAAGAATCCATCCTCACGTGTACAGCACTCTGAATAGTTCTTTGGTAAGTTAGGCCCTGACAGAATTTGGGGTGCTGTGGGTTCCGGGCTAAGGCCGCTCTGCCGTACCAAGGTCTTAGCAGTGGCTCCACAGCTGAGGCTGGGCTTCGATACCCACTTATAGAAACAAGATGAAAATCCCTTTATTTCATATAATGTATAGAATTATGAAAACTCTAGGCTGTTTGTATTAGAGAGGCGCCGTTCTGTATTTATGGTTACAATTGTGTCTGCTTTGCCATTATAAACTCCTAGTATTAGGGGTTTACAACATGGCTGTAAAAAACGGTTGTGGATGGAAACTTGACACATAAAGGTCAACCCTGTAACAATATCATTTTTAAAAATCAATTTTAAAAACTTGGAGTCATTTTTAGATTAGGTGGATATAAAAATATTGGTTCTAATTTTAGGATCGTCCAGTATCTTAACATTATAGCATAAAACTGATTTTACCCAAGTAAAAATGGCGTTGTTGCATTTGCTGCTTCTAATTTGCTTTTGTGGTGTCTGCTCTTCCCTCAAATGGTTTCTTGGTATTGGACCCAGGCCTGCAAGAGGTCCCTGACAGTGAGCAGGTACAAGAAAATGAAGAATTCCTCCTGTCCTGCTGTCTGGGGTGCTTGCCTGCATTTTGCTTTTCCTGAGCACTTTGAGCTTTCTCAAGTGCAAAGTTCTAGTTAGAGCAAGGTAATGCTACCACCGTCGAAAGGCAAGTAGTTAGACTGTAAACTTTACTAATGTATTTAAATGATACAAGGACCAGGCATCATAAAATATTAATCTTCTTTCTCTTTCTTGTGGTTGCATTTGAACACTAAATGGTGATTTTCCCTAAAGCTGTGTGTATATATGGTAATCGTTTTTCAAGTGGGTTTGGGTATCATGGAGTGTATAGAGCTGAAGAACTTGACTTTTTCTGTTGTAGTGAGCCCACATGAAGACAAATTAGAGCAGTGATAGAGGAACGAAATTAACTTTTGTTTTGTGAATTGAGTTTATTTGTTTGTACCAGGTTGAATTCCTCAAGGCAGATGGTTGTCAGCTGTATTGGGCAGTTCAGCGTGTTCATTAAGTACTCAGCTTAAAAGAAGAGCCGGTTAGGTCATCATAGTGGTTGTACGTATACATTCAGCTCAAGGAACGGAAATCTTGTCATCACTTTTGATGTCAGTATTTGAGCTTTTTCCATGCTCTAGCATATTGTCACAGGTTTAGGAAAGTATCTGTGCTGTATCAATAACTTACTGACAAACCTCTTTTAAAAAGCATTTAACAGTAAATGTGACTTTTCAATTTTCTGCTTTTTTCAGTGGTCCCACCAGGGAGCCCTGGACCGATCACTCGACACGAGTCGTACGACAGCTTAGCATCTGACCACAGCGGGCAAGAGGACGAGGAGTGGCTCTCACAGGTACGCCCTGGGCTGGCGCGCTTCAAAGGGAAGCAGTATCTTGCTGGAAGATAAATTCACAACTTTCCTCAGAATGGAAAGTAAACTTCCAGTTGGCCATGGACGTTGCAGTGTGAAAAACTGACTTCACTCCTCACTTAACATGGTACGAATTCGATGGTCTTTACATTTTCTAGAAGCTATAGAGGGTACATTACAAACTATATCAAGCCCCCAGCATTACTGGCACAAATCACACCCTTGGGAAGTTCAGGATGAAGTAGGAAGTTTAAGTTGGCAACAGAAAGTTCCCTGGCTGCCTTTTTCTCCTGACATGGTTCTTTTCAGACCTGGATAAAGGAAGCTGGCTTGGCAAACCGGTGGTATCTTTTCAGTTGCGACCTGCGCTCTGCTCACTGCATTTTAACATCAGAATGGTGGATTAACTGGTTTACTTCCTTCTTTTTCTGGTTATCAGCTGGTGTGTTTCCTGCTCATAGTTCCTTTGAGTTTTGGCTGGATACAAATATTATAGTGTTCTGAAATGATCATGCTTGATGGAATATTTTTATATGAAGTTAAATCTGTGTAGTTTTATCTATTCCTATTCTGTTTCAGTCAAGCTTCTCTTTAAGAACTCAGTACATGCTTGACCATTTGGCTCAAAACATAACTTCAGTTTAAGAATGTACATCTTGAATAATACACTGAGAATTAGTTCTTGTTAGAAATAAAAGGTTAGAGTTAAATAAATAAGTAAAATTTACAAATGCTCTGAATTTACCAGAGCAGTTACGGGGTACCTGATACGTGGAATTCATCCTGACAAGTTAGTTGGGTTTCCTCTGGTAAAGAACAACATTGTTATGGGAGTGATGCATTAAATGTGTTGCTGGGGTGTATGGCATAAACATGAAATATTCATGGATGTGATTTGTTTCTCCCACTGGTGAATAAATCATACACAGCGTTTTCCTAAAATGAGAAGTTAGGTTTCCATGTGTACCGGTCGGGGAGCAGCGTTCATTAGGGAATCTATTCATGTGAATCCACTTACCTGGCCTGAGTTTTCAGATGTGGCTGCACGTTGATCTGTCTTGTTTGCTTATGCTGCCTCTAATTTGCCAGAGCGTAAAGATGATGAAACTACTCCGTCAGTGCAGTCAACAGGAATTTTATCCCTGACCTCACTGGGGCCAAGATTTCACCTGTAGATCTCCACCTGGTCTCTCCAGTGCTGTTTGGATAGTTTATTTTCTTTTACTGTCCTTGTGACTATGCAGTGTAGTGAGCAACCTCAGGAAAAGGAAAGTGAGGTAAACCTATATTACGGGGGGTGGTTTGTTACTAATTCTTGGAAGATACAAGATGTCAAAGGCATGGTAAGACTGCCGAACTTCGTCACATCTATCCCTGTGGAAGAGTAAATATAAGGGAAGAAAAAAAAAATCCCAAGTGGTGTCAGAGAACACAGATAATTCAGAGAATGCTTCCAGAATGTTTCATTTTTGCTAAGTGAAAAGGGCGATGATAGCTCTTTTGAGCATGAAGATGGGAGCGTTCTCTGAGCAAGCCACTTTAGATTAAGCCTAAAGTGCAAGTATGTTTTTCAAAATTAAAGTGTTGTTATCAACAGTAACAGCATGCAGTGAAAGAACACTGCCCTTCACTTCAACTTTTCAATTAGAACAGTGGGTAATGTGTGCTGTCAGTGTGAAGTAGATACAATATGTTTGTCCTGCACACAACAGGAGAGTGAATAGGAACATCTGGCCGTAGCCTCAGTAAAATTGCAAAGGCATCTGTTTACCTCTCGGCTCTGTGACACTGATGGTTTCAAGCTTAAAATATACAGATTACTTTATCTGTGGCCTAATTTACACTGCCACATAAAAGCTACTTGCCTCAGAAACGTCTACAGTCAATGTGAGTTACGCTGAGATAAATGCAGAGATGGAAATAGTGCTAAATAGGCTGCGCATTGTCGTCTTGCATTAGCGGAGAACTTAGAACATTATCCAGTGTTTGAAACTGCTTCTTAAAGAGATAAGAATTGCTACTGCTACACATCTGTCATATATATTAAAATATTTTTTTCATTAATTTCCTCACTAAATTGCTGATCATTGCTTCAGCAGAAATTTATAGGAATTTACTGGTCTCTTTTTCTCATCTTAAAAGTGTGAGTTCACCGGAGCTTAATATTTTTGTTTCATATTTCCTTTTTCTGATCTTTAAAGGCTCTTTTATATTTTAATAATTGTATTACAGAAGATGTATGCTTTGTTTACCCTTTTATTTACAAGGCCCAATTCTCCTGCTCATATGTGTTTCCCGCATGGTTACTGTCTTAAATTTTCGTGGTTGTTTGCATTCCTGTAGCTGGCTTATTTAAGAGTTTGCCAGAGCTGATACTCATCCGGTTTATAGTTATCAGTATGCAAAGACATTTAAAAAATATTTTGGATGCGTCGTTTACTGAAATCACTTATTTTCAGAAGTTCGTATCTAGGCTCTCACTGGGAGCTAATACCTAGAGGAAAATGTCAATATTTCAAATTATTATTTGTTAGGCACACCACCTGTATTCTCTGTGCCTTTTGGCAGTGGTCACAGAAGTGAGAAGTTCCCATGTCGCTGTTTATCTCCACACAAACATACATCTGGACACATATCTCCTGTACATCTATTATATAATACATGTGTGGTCGTTTATTGCAAGCACACACCCTCACCTCCGGTATAATTGCCACAATTTCAGTTAAATGCCTATAAATGTGTGTGTGGCTGCCCTTCTAAACCCCGGGTGTTGCACATCCCTGTCTGTGTGACATCTGCGTGGTACCGCATGTGACCCGGGCTGCTCGGTGTCCCGCAGTGTTGCTCTCTGCTGCGGGTCTTGTTGCTTCCCAGCAAGATGGTCTCTGCCAGCAGAATCCTCAGCTGTGCCAACAGCAATTACGAGCTTTGCTTTGAAACGTGGTTCGCACTGTACACGTGTGGAGCAGCGCCGTTTAATGTGTGAACTTCTAGAAAGCAGCAGTATCGGAGCTGCAACAGCTTGCTTTCCAGAAGGGCATCCTTTGCCCTGCTCAGGACTGAGGTCAGCTGGGAGAGGTCGGCTTTTCCAGTTCCTCTCTCTACTCCGTGTAGATGGAGACAGAAATGTTCCCATTTGCTGCCACCAGAGTAGCCTTTTAGCATTCAGGTTATTGCGTGTGTTTTGCTGTGGCAAGGGGAGCAATGAAGAGGGTCAGGTGAAGTGACAGCCTGGATGGAGTGTCCATCTCAGAACAATTTAACAACTGGGGCTCAGTGCTCTCGAGTTGGTGGCTCACGGGCTTTCAAGGTTCTGCAAGAAGCTCTTGGCTTTGCCTCGAGCATCGCTCTCGAGCAAAGGCATCCCGAGTCTTCCCTGGCTCAGCGCTCCTCTAAAGGGCTGGCACAAACCACTCCTTTTGCTCGAGAACAGCGGGGTGCTGGGGGTTCAGCACGTTGAAGGAACCGTGTTGCGGTTTTGTGTGAAGCATTTTCCCATATTCCCTTCTGACAGGTCGAAATAGTGACCCACACCGGGCCTCACCGGCGCCTGTGGATGGGCCCCCAGTTCCAGTTCAAAACAATCCATCCCTCAGGCCAAACCACCGTCATCTCATCCAGCTCCTCGGTGCTGCAGTCGCACGGGCCAAGCGACACGCCGCAGCCTCTGCTGGACTTCGATACAGATGATCTTGATCTCAACAGTCTCAGGTAAAAGTAAAATCAATTCCCAAGCTGTTTCACATTTGTTGTGTGAATAGCTTGCCTCGTGCTTAAATGAGGCCATCTGTGTAGAACGTGTAATAGTTTTCATCAGGCTTGTCCAGATGAAAGTCTTAGAAGAGCGGGTGACTCGACAACAAGAAGAATTCGGCCAGGCCAGGCAGCTTAGATTCCTCTCTGCTGCCCCTTCTTGGGTAAATTACGGTGAGAGACAGTAGAGTCTGGTGGCCTTGCTCAGCCTTGTCCTGGCTTTCACAGTTTCTGCATTGCTTACGAAATTCATTTTCTCAGGCGGGAGTGGGAGCTTTGTGCTGGAGATTGAGATGCTGACTGTGAAGCGGTCAGTGTGTTGGAACAGTAAGTGAACTTCTGGAATGTTTTATCCCCTCCCTTTCCCGCCCCCCTCCTTGCAATTCTTTTTCATGTATTTAATTCATCTGCTTTGGGCCATTGCCTGATTTGGAATTGGGGGCAGGGGGGTGAGCCTGGGGAAGGGAAGGAAGGAGAGCGAAGGTAAATGTGGGTTTATATTTACTGATAGCTGGTGTTTTTGTAAAAGTGCTTTATGCACCACGTGTTTCTGTGTCCTGCTGGTAGCTCTCCAGATTTAGCAAGTTTCCTTGCTTCTGACTCTGCATGTGATTTGAAGTCCAAAGTTCTGTGGTATGGACTTGGATTGTTTGGGACTCTGTCTGAAAGTCTTATGAGTAAAACAAGAGCGATGGATACTATGACTAAGCCCGTTAAAACTGGGCAGATTGTCCTTGGACTTAAAATACACGGGTTTGAAATGTGTGATTTTTCCTTGCGTGCAATTAATCTCACAAGTAAGGATATAGCTGTCAAAAGCATTATTCTTTTTATTTTATGTATGTATACATATGCGGAAAGAAAGCAGAAACTTTTAAAATATGAATATAGGTATATTTTACAAAAGGAATAGACAGTTACAAATGTGTCTTTTCTCCTAAACCGGTAAAGAAAATGCTGAAATGCTGCAGTTCTGGAGGGCAATAAAGGCTTTTTAACCAGGGTCAGCTTTTTGTTTTGAGGGTCTCTGTGAGCTCCTATCTGAGACAGGATTTGAGGGTACTCACTTTGTGCAGAGCCTCAATCTATCTCTGCTTGGATTATCCAGATCTAGGCTCCACAAAGAGGAGAAGAACAAAAGTTTTCAACAGTTGGCTTTTTAAAACTAAATAGTTGCTTAATTGGTTCAGCTGATTCAGGTTTGTGGTTTAATTATGGCCCTGCTGAGCAGCGGTTTGACACAGGTGGTAACTATAACTTCTTGTACCCAGGATTCAGCCCGTTCGTTCAGAACCTGTGAGCATGCCGGGCTCGTCGCGTCCAGTTTCTGATCGCAGAGGAGTTTCAACAGTGATTGATGCTACCTCAGGTAGAAACATGTTGATTTCACGTTTTCTTTGATATTCGCTGAATTCGTCAATCTTGTCCTTTTTCTGTCCAGTAACACTGGTAACGTGTTTACTAACCATTGTCATGTACTTAAAAGGATATCGCGGTTTTCAGCTGCAGAAAAGGGTAAGTGCTGTCTTATACAAATACTTCCTGAAAGCGATGGTAATGATGACTTTTTTTCCTCTTACCGCTCAAATCTGAGGTCACGGCGTTGTGCTAAGATACGAACACAATATTTACATTATGTTTAACATGAGCTGTAGTATGCTAAAAACTGCCTGAACTAAAAAAGCAGAACATTTTCAAATACTAACATTGAAATGCTTTAATTAATGAATGCCTAAAGCATAGAATGTTGCAGTTCTGTCTCATTTATAAAATAGCTTTCATGGAAATGTAATCATAAACGTAATTGATTTCTGTGAACAGTCAAGACAACAGGGTAGTTTATCTCATGTTTGTGTAATAGGCACATTTTCACTACTCTGCTCTAAAAGAGCGTGTAAATATAATACTGCAGTGGTTTTGTTAATATCAACACAGTAATGTATGTACTATAAAGTTTTCTTCTTTTTTTCTCAGTGGTGGGGTATAGTCTGTATAAAGAAACGAGGACAGCAGAGCTTTATGTTCTAGTGCAGCTGTATAGCATCTGAAGGGTCCACACAGCAGGATTTTGTCAAATAAAATCTCTCACAAGTAGAATTATTAAACACACAGCATTAGTCAAACAGTCAAGTCAGAGAGGATTTTAATCTTTAGTGATTTGAAAATCCCTGGAGACTGCTGATTGGATTGAGGTTAAACTGTAAAACGAGACTGTAACACATACAGCAACTGGTTTCTGAAGGCTGTTTTAAAGAGAGTTAAAATAAAAGCTCCTGTTCCAGACTCCGTTTGGTATTGATAGAAATTCTGAGTCCAAGCTATTGCATTGTTTGCCAAATTAATTTATTTTGGTATTACAGGATGTTTCTTAGATGTGTTGATAACCGAGTTCAATAATAGCTATGTTTACTTTAGATATTCAGGATTGTCATTATAAATTCCATTTTCAAATATTTAAAACTTGCTACATTAATTCACGTTCACCTTAGACAAACATCTGATGCTGGCTATTCAGAGGGAGTTTTATTTGTCTTGTTACATGACCAAGTAATTTTGAAAATAATTGTTTGATACAGAAGGAAACATAAATGCATTGTTTACCACTTTTTGGGACTAGTTCATCTATGCCTGTTACCCCTAAAAGGTTCGAAGCTTGAACTGTGGGAGTGCTTCTGTCTGTATCTGACACTTCAGATTCGGAGTGATTAATGGCCGAGCCGCTGGGCGCTATCAGCAGCGCTGTGCCAGCTGATACAGAGAGAGATCTGGGTTAGCAGGGTGCCTTGGCTTTTTTCCCCTCATGTGTCTCAACGGAGCAGTGCCGTTACCTTATGGCAGGGAGGTGTAACAATTCTGAAATGGAGCCGTAACACATTCTACGGCTCTTATTCCACCTACGATACAGACACTGAACCACCCAGGACCGTGCTCCTTCCGTGCTCAGCAGCCTCTCCTGACACGTGGATGGGGCCTAACGTGAAACGGCTCATAGGAAGGTGCCGAAGCTCTATGGTGATGCCTTTAACACGTGTGTCCCTCTGAAAGTCGCCAAAGTCAACTCTGTACATTGTTACGACACTGGAATTATATTTACTGCACAGCAGTGACTCGGTTTTGTTCTAACACCTCATAAGTCTCTTATAACCAATACGTGGGTTTTGTTAGGGTCGCGCTGATAGCTGTGCTTCATTTAACTTCGCTGCCAGACAGTTTGGAGCTGAATTGATTTTTGATTCGGGGACTTCACCATCTATTTGCAGTTTTCATATCGCCTGATGCCCATCCTTTCCCACCCAGAAATCGTTGATCCCAAGTTCGGGCAGATATGCCGGATTACACGTGATAGTAGAGGGGTGTGAATTCTGCTACAGAGTAAAGGAGACGCGAGGTGGAAAACATAATTTATTTTTTTTTTGAGGTCTCATGCTATTCTCCTAACAGGGCCCAGCGAAGGGCAGGCAAGTATTTCGTGCTTACTTTCGTCTCTTCCCACCTTTGAGATGTGCAGGAAATTACATTAAACTCAACTCTGAATCTGAAAGTTTTATTTTAAAAGCTGTTCATGTACAACAGTGCATTTTTTGTGTTATAGTCCACTACTGTAAGTATCCCCATTTCCTGCTCTTGCCAAGGCATGCCCTAAATGGCTTAAATTCGCCGTGGAAAAGAAATCTATCGGAAAATAACATTTTTAGGTTTGAAGGATTTTTAAGTAGGTCATAAATTTTTACTGCCTAAGCTGAACCAGGAAGTGATTCTTCAGTTATGACCCGTGCGTTGGAGCCTGTCGCGCTTTATGAAGATGCTTATCTGGTTGTTTGATGGCCTGTTGCTTAGAGATACAACCAGCGTGGCGCCTCTTCTTATCTAGCTCCATCACTTGTTCTTCCTATCAAAAGATTTCAAGTACATGTTTATCATCTTCCATTAGTCTTCTGCCATTCTCGAAAGCTTCCTTCCTTCTCCCCCCTTGGTGACGACTCTGTTGTTGCTTTTCATAATAAATTTGCGTAACTTTTTAAATCATGATCTTCACGTGCCTGTGAAACTACGGTATGCTAATAGCAATATTTTCCCACAAGATCGTTTGCCAAAGCCCTCATTTAAAAACTACAAAACTCTTAATAGTGTTATCAATAATGAAAATTTGCAGTGGCATTTTCGAGGTGGATGGTTGTATCTGTAAAGATTACTTGGATTAAAAAAATTGCGTGTTTTTAATGTGGTTATTTCAGCTTAAAATCTTCCTAAGATATTCATGTTGTGGGTTTGGTTTTTTTTAATCAAATCTTTAAGAAAAAGTTGACAAAAATTTAGTCACCTGAAGCTACTGGACATTTGTCCCTCAGTGCACAGGTTTTACTCATATGCGTCGTGGAGAGAATATACCCTCAAGGATTAAATGCACTGTAATTCCAGATGCTATTCCAGATTGGCAGTTAGAAATGTTAAAGGGACATCACCGAGTTTAAATCCTTAAAAAGCAGGAAGCCCTTATAGTAATGCAGCAAAAGACCCACTGCTGCGCACAGAGGCAAGTGCTCGTCTGTCCGTCTGTGTGTCTGTCCTTTCCGAGAAATGCTGAGGTCGTCGGCTGGTTTTGTGAGATTGAACAGAAGTGGAGTAAGTCTCAGTAAGTCAGGTTACATTTAAGATTTTATTAGACACGAGAGACGGGAGAGAAAACTTATAAATGCCCTGTCTGTAGGAGATGCTGCTGCTGAAGGTCACACTCTTTATGCAACAAACCGACCAACCCCGAGACAGAAATCTGTAGTGCAGCAAAAAAAATAAAATAAAAAGAAATTATTGCTGAATGAGCTGGCTCTGTTTCAGAAGACCACTCTACAGGCATGAGTTGGAAACTTTACATTACCTGTATGCACTGAATGCTGGTCCTTTCTTTGATGCAATGAGCATTAGGTACGGTTTTCAGCTAGCTGAGGATATCTACAGACTGATGGAGATGAGGAAACATAAGCATAGGCTGGACTTCAGTACTTCCAGGCACCTTTCTGAATTTTTCTACTCTAACCTGTGGATGAAAGTGCAAGTAATATATATTACATACCTGAAAAATCAAACCTGATAAAATTCTACTAGTAATAAATAATGCAGAAATTAAAGGGTGCAGGAAGGTTAGGGTATCTGTACGGAACAACAGCTCTGAACTTCCAGAAATAGAAAACCTCTAGAGAAAGGGGTTTGCAGCAGTTCCTGATCACAGTAAATTTGCTCACACAGCTGCGTTGAGTCTGTAAGGGCAAGCGTTTCCCTTAAACTGTAACAAATGTGTTGAAGGGCTCAGGTACTCAGGTATGCTCAGTCATAGCTGTTAATTCAATCCTGCTCTGCTAAAAAAAAAAGTGTGTGCATCTGTGTGTGTGTTTATGAAAAGCCTTGTGTATTCCCTCATACAAAGAGGTTTTTGACGTTTATCCATCAGTCAAGTAATGATTTTGTTGCATTGTCAGCAGAGTAGAAGAGTGTTGACAAAGAAGCTCTCTGATCTCTGTTTTGCATCAGCCCTTTCCTTTCCTACTTGGAGGAGATCTCAGTTTCTTTCTTGCTTGGGACAAATACAGAAGTTAGAGTGAGAAGGATTTTACCGAATTAAATTAAATTGCAGAAAAACAAGATCCTAAGGGGTTTTTTTTTCCTTTTTATATGTGAGGTGGGGGTAACCTTTATGTTCTTTTTTAAAACCTGGCGTGTGCTGCCCTTCCTAGGGCTGCGTGCATCATTTTTTAATGAAGATAGTTTATTACTGTTGTATGGGACTCTGACAATGCTAAGCTTTCATCTGGTTACTTCAATCAATGCCCACTTAAAATTGGCTTGTAATTTAGTACTTCCCTTTCTTTTGTGTGTGACTGGCTGGTTGTGGGCAGATAGCTTGTCGCCTGCAGAGGGTTTCATGAACAGAAAAATTGACTGGGTTTTGTTGGGGAGAGAGGCTGCCTCTCCTCCCTTTCTATCCCCCCCAGCCTGTGAAGGATCTTTGGTTGTTCATCCCCACACCTGTGAGGTAGGGACTGCAGGACACTGTCCAGCAATGCTCTCGCTTGGAATTTAATAAACACTTCTGCTGTCACACCTTAAACCATCTGAGCTCTTTTCTGTTGTACGCGCGATCAAATATTTATTCCCAAATGCTGTACAGCAGAAAGTGCTGCCTCGGAGTAGCGGAGATCAGTTATTCAGGTAGTAAAGATGTGTGAATGCAGCTGGCAGATGAAGTCACCAACATTACGAATTCCCAGGCTGTCCTGACTGCCACGGGCAATAACTGACAGGCCTGAGCGGTCGCTGGTTTCCCGTTACGGGCGCTGGTAGGGCCCGGGGAGCCCTGGCGTCACGGATACTCGAGCTGCCCTGCTTGAGTGGAGCCGGCCAGTGCTGGAGGGTCCTTGTTGCAGAGAGATGTAATCAATACGGGCTGGAGTCCTTGACCTGAACCTGTAATTACCTGGCTGGTATAAAGGTAGTTTGTTGTTGCAGATAGAGATTGTGCT